ATAATACAACTATACACGTGACACGTTTGATGTTGATTATCGACAGTTACAGCGGCTGTGTGCGTATTGTATCGTAACTATATGTCAACTAACAAATTATCATTACACAATAAATTTCGTCAATAATAAAATAGATAGGTACTACATACAGCCAGACATTTTATTGCATCAAACAAGTTTAAATATTCGATTAGATTAGATTAGCTTTTTGACGGCGAACGATGAAAACGGAAACGGCCGAAACGCTATCGGCAAAACAATACATTTTATCGGCTGCCGAAAATAGATATAATAGAAAATCCACCAGTCTACGGGGGGGGGCCATGGCCCCTTGGCCCCCCCCTTGGATCCGCGCCTGCCGATGCGTGTTGTGGTCTAAGGGCCTGCCGCTTTATATATGTTTTTATAAACTAAAGTATCTTATTGGTATTTTTATCCTTAACTGCGATCATAATACCAATAGGCAATAATAAATGATGTATATAAATATAATCTCATATTACCCATAACTGAATAAAAAAGTAATACTATTTGTTATATACCTACTTATATCATTCATAAACTTCTGAATTATTTTTTTGTGAACACGATTTAAAAACCTACCTAACCTTAATCATGACCTTTAACTTTTTTTAGTACCCATATATTATAATTTCAAACACCTAGTGTTATTGAATAACCATCGATGTAGGTTTATTGTGATTTCGTGGAATAACTGTATATCTCAGGAAGTCAGGAATGTATTCCAATCCTTAATTATATGGTTTTCCCTCACGCGCGCATGCAAGAGTCATCTACTCTGTGTTGTATTGTGAACATTAAGCAATTTATGATCATTTGTATGCACTTTTTGTCCATCCTACCGACCGACCTAACTATGCTATAATATTTTAGTAAACTCATCCGAATTCTTTATAATGCCTACTTGAGATCGGCAAGTCCACATTTTTAGATTTCTGAGTTAAATTCCGAATAATCAACTTTTGAATATTTCAAAATATTCAAACTAAATTTATTGTTGTCAGATACTGAAATTCTGAAAAATAGAATGACCGATCTCAAGTAGACATAATAACAAATTCAAATCAGTTCTTAAAAGTATTATCTTATTACTTGGTCGATAAGTATGATGGACAAAAGATTGGTATGTTTTGGCTAAAATAACTGTCTACCACCGATCCCCTTAATATGATGATTACTTTAGGTATAATTTTGTGCGGTCAGTGTAAAGTTCATAATTCATAAAAGTAACATTTTTATTTTAGGAACCTACCTATATTTAAGTTTTTCATTTTGTAATAACGAAATGGTCAAGAGCCGGTCAAATTTCCCTGGCCGAAAAGTTGCCCCAGCCCACCCCTGTTCAAAGCTTGCAATTTGGATAGGCCACTCTAAGAGATGGCATGCAATTCAGACAGACCTTTCCAAGAGACGGCTTGCAATACGGACATTCAATTCGGATGCAACCGTTTTTTTTTGGTTTGAACTTGGCGTTCTTGCGTCTGTTTGCATTAAGCAATATTATGTATATAAACGCATATCACATAGTAATTAATGTATGCTAGTTTGTTTTTTTCAGTTTAGCTTGCAAGTAAACCAACCCTCAAGAATTCTAGATTAGGGGTCTCAACCTTTTTACATACATGGGCTATGTTGTTTATCAGATTTTCATCGAAGGCCGCTTACAAAATTAAAATAAATGTTAGGTATTGAAAACACAATTTTAACATGTAATTCTAATATATTTTATGGATATGAGTTTCATATTACAAGTAGAGAAAATTTAAAAAAAATGTATATTAATTAATTCTTAAATGCGAAAGGATATAAATATTTTTAAATAAATAGTTTCTAGATTCTAATGTTGTTGCATTTTTCTCGATTATTCGTTAATATCTGCTTTCATACTGGATGTTGATATTCATATAACTGCGTTTTGTTCATTGCTTAATCGTGAACAGTATTTTTTTTTCGATAGTTAATTATTGAAAATGTCTGCTTACATAGATAAGTGCTACTAAAAGCAGTTATCATTTTCTTAGTCACGATTCGATTTTGTTTATTTCAATTTAAAATTTTAAATACTATGATGAATATTTGGAAGGCAGCAGAAAAAAGTTCCTCGGGCCGCGGGTACCCGGGTACCCGGCCTGCTCTAGATAGAAAATAAGTCAAATGGGTACGCGTATGGTGAACAAATATAATAACTACCTACTTAGGCATCAAACTGAATTAAGACACTGAATCTGAAAGTGTTACCTACATATATTGGAAAAAGTAGCTAATCTTAACAATGAAAGTTAATTGGTTAAACTGAAAAAACACAACACTATTTTTAAAAATATTAAAGGCGTCAATAGAATGCAATAAAATTACTTATTTGATATATATTTTTTACACTGAAAATGATGGGACAATCAGATTTTGACCATCGAAGTTCTTAAGTTGTACCTACCCACTTAACGTAATGTTGTTTATGTTTATAATTGTAATTGATTCGTAAATAGCAGTAATTACATTGTTATTCACCCCACTTGAGTGCTTTTTTTTTGATACTTGTAATCGACATCTTCACAATAAATAATTTAAAAAAACAACCAAATTTATACAGAAAAAACAACATTTCATCCTCGAAAAAACTGTTTTACTGATTTTGACGATTTTGGGTAATATTTATGATTTTAATGAGTACTTAGACAATTTTTTTTTACGAGTTTACCTTTTACTGAACAACCAACAATATTATATTATTATCACCATTCACCGATATTATTGGCCTCCACGACGGAGGCACTATATTATGTTTCTGTTAAATGATAATAATTGTTTGTAAATTGTAATCATGATACAAAATTATCTGATTATCACTTCACTTGGCTCAGATTTAGTTACTGTTTACTATTTGGCTACTACAAGTGAAGTTTGTTCTATTGTTGTTTAACTTAGGCAATCCTCAGATTTTTTAAACCTCAAAGTTTGTATTGTGATTAGAAACTTCCAGCATTCAATTTACTAAACCCTGATTTGGAATGTCTATCAACAAGGTGAAAGCCGTAGGTTATCCGTTAGCTGCAGTGTTTGATGCAAATGGTAAACTATAATGTATTAATATTGGACAATTGTTTTAATTATTTTTATTCTGATAATACATTAGTTATTATTTTCATTTGATGTGTTTGATGCTATATATGTTATATAAATGACCTATGACATTTTTGTTGATAGTTGTATAGTTATTTATTTTACATCCTACAGGTCTAAGTACCAAATGAATGTTCTTAACCTTATCTACAAATTTATAGGCACGTAATTGAGTATTAATACCTTTGTATGTGTCAATATTTTATCATTTTAAGATTTTTCTTTTAAATGTCAATCTAGATTTTAGTAATTTTATACAATGGCTAGGGACAACATACGAATATACTCTGTTCCACTAGAGAACATACCACCCAATGACATAAACGAATCAGCTCTGCATAAACTCTTCCAAATTCTCGATAGATGACATGTTTAAAATTGATTACATTTATTTTGTGCACTACTGTTGGTCGCTGTAAACAACGTTTGGCCACATGGTAGTCTTGTCGGTTGACAAACTTCATTCTTACATGCTCAAAACCTGCATGTTTCCTTGTCTAACTAAGTGTACTTAATGCTGCTAAAATATACACTATTTATTCAATATTCATGGTTACAAATCCAGACAAAAATTTCTTTAGAATATGAATTTAAAATATAAATGATTTTTTCATTATGTTTTAATTATGATAAATAATTATTATGAAATTATCTGCCTAACAAAAAATTGAAATAAATAATTTAAGTGACACAGATAATTGTAGGCTAATGACAAAATTGATTCTGTAAAATATTAGAAATAATTAACTAACTGTATATATTACTAATTCAATTTAGATCAAAAAAGTTTTCGAATGTTAATTTTGTGGCTCGAGGAAAACATATTACATTCTTATGAACCAGAGAAGCGAATAGAGTTACAAAATGTCGATTCTCCTTCTTGGGACACAGCATTCAAAAACTATTGTGTGTCACAATCTAGTCCAATTAAAACTACCGAAGCTATCGACCAGTTGGAATGGTTATTAGGTGTGGCAATTCGACTAACATATAATAAACAAAGTGAATACAAACTTAATATTTATGATAATTTATAAGTTGTCTTATATTTTAGTAAAAAAATAATTATTTTGGTTTGTAATTGTCTTAGAAAATAAATTTGATTCTGAAACAAAAAAAACTCTTGAAGTTTCTACTGATGTTCCAATGATTATACCATCCGATAACCCAATTGATAACCTTGATGGTAACCATTTTAATTAAGTAAAATTTTATAATTTTCAAATATATTATCAGTTTTAAATTTTATTTAGTGAACAGTAGTGATTTCAAGGAAGGTATTGAGAAACTTGCGGACTTACTAAACATTTCCAAGCATCCGGATCACAAAATTACATTAGAAGCCATTCATAAATTTATCATTAAAAGACTTAATGAAGAAGCCATTAAAAATCCGTCGTCTATATTACCAAAGGTACCTAAAATGTATTAGCTTATTAAGATTTATTATAAACTTAATATATATTTATTCATACAGGGAGAAGCTTTTCCTTTAGAAAAAGTAAAAGGTCATAAAATTGAATCCAAAGATTCAGCCGTTTTACACGCAATGAAGGTCTTGAGGTTGGCACAATTGCATCGGTTACGTGATCTTCAAACATGTATTAATGAATGTATAGTAGCTATGCAAGAAGTTACTTCTGATCCAAAAACAGACACAAAATTAGGAAAAGTGGGATATTGAATATCAAATTATTTTAATTAATTATTTATTTAATGAAAGTGTAAAATATATATGATTCTTAAAAATGCCTCGTGTACAATAAATGATGAGCTTTTTGAATTATTCGTACTTTTATTTCTATGCCTATTAATTTCATCACAGTGAATTGTGGCCAAGCATTGTTTAAGAATAATATTTTGAAAATATATTCTTTTTTCTAAATGCTACCTGACTATCATAGATTGAAATTTTTGAATTTTAGTTAGTAACATAAACATCAATTCTAAAAAAATAATGATATAGTATAAATTTAAAGTTTTTATAATTAATCACTATTATATCAGTATATTAATAATTAATAACAGTTTGACTCATCGAAGGGTTCAGATTATTATTAGTAATAGATATTATTATCAATTTTAAAAAAATGTGTAGTTAAATGGATTATTACAATTTATTTCAACACAATTAATCAGCAGGTAATAAGGTATATTTAAGTTAAGACCAGAGACATACAGAGGGTGTCCGGCCCAGTGGTAATGCAAGGTTACCTTCCCAAATAGTGGTGACTTGCAGAGGAGGCATAACCCCCAAAAAGTTTTAACATTGCATTTTTTATAAGTGATTAAGTATATATTTCACTGATTATCGTTTATCATATAGAGACCCACTATGTATTGTATTTTTAAAAACCTGGTTGGTTAAATAAAAATGCCTCAGTGCTAATAAAAAAAACAAAAACAATTGAATAACTTGGCATAGTTAATAAATTATGGCAACAATGAATATAATTAAAACAATTTTAAATTACCTTTTACGTATAATAATAGTTAAATATTATATTTATTTAATAGAAAGTAACTCAATATTTATGAAACCAATAAAAATGATCAAAAAAACATAAAATTAACTAAACTTTACCATTTAAAACAATTCTAAGATCAAATTTTCACACAATTCTTGAACGATTCTCCCTGTACTTATATCACTGGACTTCCAATCTACTAAGAATCGACGATGGTAACTGCTACTGCTCTGTTGGAAAAATATCCCAGCTGTTACCTATGACACTTCTTTCCAGACGCTACCTACGTCAAATCCATCTCTGTCAGACCATCAACTTATGCTAGTAACCCATGCTGCCATCAGTAAGTTTTTTTATTGTTATAATATTATACCATGACAACCAGTATGGCAGGATAGAAGAGTCAACAGAAGGCAGCTCAAAGTTTTCAATAATACTTATGTCGTAATGTGTTTTTTCCCCACAATTACAACTAACTATGGGGATGCATTTTTTTCTCTTTCTCAATATACTACTATTAATCTATTATACAGTCTTTCTCTTTTCAACCATAAAAAAAAAATGTTATTTCATATTAATATATTGGTAAATAAATAGAAAAGTATTCAGTGACTAAATAGAAACGTGGCAAGCTATTTTATGTTGATATGCCATACACTTAAATGACATAACATGCATTTATGGAATTTGTGTAACTTGTTTTCATTGTTTATTTTAGTCTCCAGACTATATTGGAATAAATAGAAATGGATTATTATAATTTAGGTATTTCAATAGCTGAATGATTGATGTTTTTAGTTAAATACAGGAATATATTAGTGTGATGGATTAAATAAATACACAATATATTGAGTATAGAATATTTTATTATACATATATATATTTTATTTATTTAATTACAATAGGGTAGAACTATAATTCATAAAATTGGTGTACTTAAAACTGTACTAGATTAAGTGACAATCACAAATTCTAGACAACTAAAGCGTTTTTTTTTTATAAAGAAGTTATATGTATTAAGTAATACTAGTCAGCCTCGTTTGCTTAAAAAATAATTTTTTTCACAATAATACTATTATTTTAAGGACAAAGAATATCACAAAGAAAATAAACTTATCTAATTAATTTAAATGTACAATCTACAGTTACGAATTAATAAGCCAAATTTAGTGATAAAAAAACACACCTATAAAATATTTAATTACCTACCTAAATCAATTTAAATAAAAATGGTGTTTGCAAAATTGTTTTCAGATTTATAAATTAAAAGTTAAACTTAATTAAAGGATCATTGTTTTTAATAATATTGGTAGTATTTGAAATATGGTATAGGTTGGATTTTGATAACAATTTGGGTTGCCATTTAGTATTATATACACACTTTGACCATAGAAAAACTGCCCTGCATAGTATTTTGAATATTGTAACTCAATGATCAAAACTAAAATGATATTGCCTCAAGTATAACTATTATAAAAGCCTTCAGAAATTAGGTAAGATGTATTAATGAGAATATATAAAGTTTAAACAAAAAATATTTAGCGGCAAGTGTTACTGCTGGGTAGCTACTCCCCTCAAGCATTCATTACAAATATATGTTTACGCTTATAACTTATTGTAATTACTAATTATGTTAATATTGTATATTGTGAATATAAACAGATTGTATATATTCAAATAAATGTTTAAAAAAAAACAAGATTTTGAGCAATTATTTTAGTAATTGTTGAAGATGGATATAAAACAATACCTACAGACAGGGCCGGCTTGAAGGCGGTTCGAGCTGTGCACTGGCACAGAGCCCCGTGCATTGAAAGGCCCCGAGGGCCGCGGTCTGTTGCATAAATAAACTATCGGATATTAATTTAATATAAGGATTAAAAACAGATGGGTTTGGCCACCAAACTTCTATTTGTCCAAATAAATAAATAATGGTTAACAACCACTAATACGCCCCACGAAAACATTTTGCATATAGCCCTGATGCTTACCAAGCCTACAGAAAATAATTTAAATATTGCTAGTTCATAATTTTGTTTAAACAATAAAGCTATTGAAGCACTAGTAATAATTAGTATTGATATTATCATTTCTTTAGTAGTATAAGCATCTATACTATAAAATAGTTCTAATAAAAGGGATAATACTTTTTTGAAAAGAGTATTAACTAAGTTAGTATTAATAATTGAACCACCATTTTTTCACCTTAATCTTAGGCACTTAGAGGGTTAAAATCAAAAAAATTTAAGCTGTAAGTATTGATTGTATGATTTAATAATAATAACATATTATATTATATAATATCATGTATTAAGTTTGGGATTTTGGCTAAATTTGATATGGTGATTATTGTGTTCTACATTTCATACAAATACCTAATACTATTACTCTCTAAACTAAAACATGAAAAATGTCTAGTAAATAGTTTTAAATTTCCTAGACCATAATACAATAATTTAATCATTCAGTTAAAATAATATATCAAATACAAAAAGCAATATTATGTTGCAGTGTATTCAATAAGTAACGGCAACAAAATTATGAACTTTATGAAATTAAATTTATATTAAAAAAAATATATATAATAGTCTCATGGTTACTCGATAATGTATTAGTCATATATCTTAAAAAATAAACAAATTATATTTTAAGTCATTTATTAAGGTATCATAATTAATAATAGACGTTTTGTTTATGGTCGTAGTTTTTGAATTTATTAATCTAATAATTATGTAATGAGAAATAATTCCATGTTTATATAAATAGGTGAGGCTTTTATAAATCATTTCTGGGTGTTTTTTTTTCAGTAATGTATCCTATTTAATCATAATTAAAAAAAATTTTTTATCAATAAATAAACAGCAACATTTCAACTCTAGGCGCTTTTTTAAATTCATTATTTTTTATTTTGTTTGGAATTGGGCAAACATTGAAAACTACTTACAATATAAAATTTAACACAGTTTATGGAAGAAAACATTGCTTAGGATATTAATCTCTATTTCTTTACTTATATAATTCATTCATTATATATTCAGCTACCATAATGTAAACTGCTATGAATGCTCCAACAATACTTGCAATAGTTGTATTCATCCGGAAAATAATTATTGTTGCTATTCCTAGACCACCATATGTTAGATAACGAGATTGATCAGAGCTCTTCCATTTGGTGTCCACTATAACAAAATAATTATCTTTAAGGATTCTGTTGTTAAAAAAAATTAATTATTGCAAGAACAACAACATTTATAAAAAGTCTTAATTATAATTTAAAACTAAAATTCTAGTATAAACTTAGAATAATTTAATAAAAGTGAAATGCTATATATAAAAATAAATAAAATAGAGTAGTTGTTTTTAATTATTATAGAATGCAAAACTATTAATAAAATATTAGTAGGTTAATTCTTTATGAAAATTATGTCAGAACAATTATTATAAACCTTATAACATTAATTTTTAGATGTTTCTCCAAAAAGAGAAACACAGATTTTATTATTTACAGTAGAAATATCTTACTACAAATAGGTGTACAAAATGATGGCTATTAAAGCTTCTTTAAGATAATTATGATGCTCCTAAGTCATGTAAGTTAAAAGTTGAAGCCAAGCATAATTTTAATTAAGAATGTTATGAATATAATATTGAATATTATTATAGGATAGTTATTATTCAACATTTTATGATTATATAAATATATTAATAAGAAATAATTCAATTGTGTATGATGTTTTAGGAAGTAATCGAGAATTTGATGGGGCGAATATGAAGGATGATGTAGTGTATAAGATGAACAGGTTCAAGTAAATTTTTCCTAACTAGTGAGTCGTCCTTCCTCCTAAGTTTCAAGTAATTAGGATAGGTAGAACAAAAAAATAGTTATCTTAAGAATGCCATTGAGATAGATAGATTTTGAGTCAGTTATGAGGCTAGTTATGTTGTAGCGATCGGAATTTTGAAGAGTGAACTATAGATAGAAAAGCATATAGTGAGGATAGAATAAGAAATCAATTCAATAGTAGATGAATAGAAGTGGCTCAAGTGAGAGAAAATAATCTGACAGTTCAGTTATTTTATGAGAAGACGTGATTCAGATGCAGTGAGAGTGGCTATGAAAATGAATGTAAAAGGGAATTAGGAGGTTTCCTAGGGAGAGGAAGACTTACAAAAGAAATGGTTGGATAAAATGAAGAATAATTAATGACATGAAAAAGGCTGGTGTGAGTAAATAGATGCTCATAAGAAAAAAAGATACAAGAAATAATTAATTTCTACAAAGACTTAGTAAAACCTTATCATTGATGAAATACCAAATAAAGAAAAATCCATAAACTTAAAACAGTATTTTGCCATATGTGTTGTATTATAATTACTTGATGTTTAATTAAAATAATTTTTAAGATACCATAATATACTCAAAAATTATTCAGTTATTTTTATCATCAATAAAATTTTAAGTGTAGTGCATGCAAAAGTGAATTCAACTAAATAATATTTATTAATAAACATAATTATATTAAAGTAGATATGAAAAAACAAATTTGATATGTTATTTCTACTACATATTTAATGGGAGTAGGTATCATTTACAAGTTTTTTAGTAACACTGGCTACTAATAGAAAAAACTAAGCTATTTAACCATTGGTCTAAAAGAACAAAAACACAACTTACTCGGTTTTCTCTTTGACTTCATAGCCTTCACTAGCATCTACAATGTAAAAATCATGCAAAAAATCATTACTAAAGCATTAGAGTATTACACATGCTCTAATAATTGAGTATCATGATTCTTAAACGTGCATAAGCTCGTAATAATTAATCAATTAAAAACACTCCCAAAAAATACAAAGTTTTAATAAATTAAAAACTACCTATGCATTTTTTGTCTTTCATGATGTATCCTGCAGCACAATTATAGCACATATCATTTCCGTCACCATAACAATCTGTACATGATGGATCACAACCTGTATATATGTGAATTTAATTAAAACATATACAATTAATAAGACTACATTTTGTTACTTACTCAAACAAGAATACGAGCCATCATTATTAACACAAAATTGCTGTGAGGTACAAACGTCTTGTTCCAAACATTCATCAACATCCACACAACCTTCACCTTCGCCCATATACACCCATCCATCTTTACATTCATCACAACCTGTATATATTAATACATGTATTTCAAATTAAATATAAATAAAAATTATTCAAATATGAATTAAAAAATTAAACTAACAACCCATAATTTTACTATTATAATGATACCTTATTAATTTTAGCTAGATTGAGTTTTTTATTTAAATTTTTTATCCAATTCATTGATTTGAAATAAAACTACTAAATAAACTATAACATGAAAAATTGCATAGACTATATTTAGTGTACAGTCATTCCCCAATTTCAACAATGGTATACTATTGATGATTAGTAGAGCGCGAATTTGTATGCAATTGCATATGTATTTTGGTTCATTGTATGATATGCTAAGTGAGCACGAAATTTGTTTCTTGGCATAACGATTTAAACAATGAAATTTTTTTAGTGCATATTTTGGAGTTAATTTGATTTGTAAACATTTTTGAAGTAATTACCGTTACAAAAAAAAATAAATTCTTTTATGAAGAAAATCTTCGCTCTCAGATTTTGTGGGAAATGCTCGTTAATCGGTCTGGTGTGTTATATTTCATTTTATTGTGTGTAGAGTCTCGGCCCTTAGATTAATTATCTTATCTTTATCGGTGTAATAATCAAATAATATATAATACTCAGAAAATATCGGTTTCAGTATCAGACCAATAATATTATTTCATTCTGTAAAAATATTTAGTATCAACCGTGTTTTTATGTCGATCGTAACTCGTAGTGCGTGTCTTCGTGTATTATATTTTTTCAAGATGCCAAAAGAAAAATCGTCTTTATCGAGTTGTCTTCGTAGTTAAATGCATGAATTTGGCGAGAATATTTTTTCAAGAAATCAAGAGATTAAAAAAAATTATTTTTAGAACAAATGCAATCATTTTAATTTATTATTATAATAATAATATTTTATTAATTATTATTATTTCATGGAAAATGCATGACATTTTTTGGTGCATATTTTTTTTTTTTATACATGCATATCTAAACATTTTAGTGCATATATTAATGCATATTTAAGATTTTTTAACGCATATTTGGTAGTTTTTTAAGGCATATCAATCCGTGTTTTAATGATTAGTATGGATATCACAGTCAATTAATAAAATATCATTTTCAATTCATTGTGTAATTAAAACTGTACTGTAACATAAAAAAAAATAATCAATGCCAATACAAAATATTGTGGTCTGAAAATGTTCTGAAATTTATTCAATCTAGATATTAACTATTTAAGTGCAAGTTTTTTTTTCAATTATTATATCAAACTGTTTATAAAAACCTAATTTGTATTATTTATATAATATAATATATAATCTAACCTTTTGGCCCCGAATCTGTACAGCTATCTTTACAAGATTTATGACATTCTTCACAAGTAAAAGTATTATTTTTCAGTATGGCAAAATAATTATTTGCACAATGATCGCAGTTGGTACCTTCATAACCATTTTTACATTTGCATGATCCATTGCCTTTTCGAGTTCCATCACCCTGAAATAGAATAGATTTCATCAAAAAAACTAATATTTATAAAATAATGAAGGATAGTAAGTATTTTATTATTACCTTGCAAGTTCCATGAGAATTACAAACATTTGGATAACCTGTACACGGTAAACAATTAGGACCATAATGTTTTGGCGGGCAACACACTTTTAATTTGTCCACACAAAACCATTGGAATAGATCTTCTTGACGACCATCCGTCCACCATTCTTTTAAGTGATGTTCATATTCACTCGACAAATGAAAACACTATAACACAACAAATATTTAACTAGGGAATAGATCTTAAGTTTGAGTAACTATTTTATTTTACCATATCTTGGTCTTGAGATATTTCAGTACACAATGAATCATGGATTTCCACAAATCTCACTTCACTTTTTGCATAAGTCAATAAATTTTTCTCTTCCCATGCTGTATTTCCACCGCCAAAGTGACCATTTTTAGTTTTTTCAAGACCCTAAATACAAATTCATCTTAAACTTCTACACAAAAAATTTTGATTTATAAATTACCTTCTCAAACGATTGAACTAATATTTTACAACTTTTGCAAGGTGATGTATCAGCAGAAACTTTTGGAACAAAATTAGAAACATCCAAACCATGTAATAATTGAAAAAATGGAAGTAATAACAGTAAGAGCATAGTCCTATGTAAATAATATCTGAAATAAATCAAAAATAATAAATATTTTTAATTGTTAATGATAGCTAAAATTAAATTTAATAGGTATTTAAGTAGGAAGTAATCATTTTCATGAATTCTTAGATTGTTTTCATAGGTACCATTATCATTATATCATTTCATCATCAATCACACTGCAATTACTATTATTATTAATATAATTTAAAAATGTGTGAGTTAATTTGCACAAATATAAACTTATATACTTTACAAATAAACAATTACACTAAGTTAAAACATATTTGTTTTTTTTTTTTAACACATAGGTACCTATGAGAATACAGTTTAAATTAGTACAAAAATCTGATTCATTTCAAAAAGGATAAATTTAAAATATTTTAAAATACTTTTGCAAGACTAATTTTGAAGTTTAAGAGGATGAATAGAGACTACATTTTTCATGGAAATAATTGTTCACGTTAGTAGCAAAGCCTTCAATTTAAATATTCTCAACACTTAATTTTTACCAATGATATTGTTAGATTTCATTTTAATTATTGGATTAGATTTATTTTCTGAAGAACCATAATAGGATATTCAACTCGTTCTATTACTTTTACAGCACATAAAAGTACTTATTTCAAGCCTTAGAATTTGAAATGTTTAGAACTGAGATAAAACAATTATTTACAATATATACACTAGCATATTTTACTAATATCTAATAGCACATTAATAATTTACTCATTCTATAATCTTAATAATTATTGAGAATAAAACATACACAGTTCATTAAAGAGGTAGCATGATAAATCATAACAATTACAAAATATACTGCATTTTCAGTGTAAAAACCTGTTAGGGCAGAAAATTAGTAACTATTAAAATAAAGATGCAACTATTAATTCATTGTTATGTTACTATATTTCTTACACTTAAATAAGTAGGAAAATGCATCTTGATGAAGAATATGCTTCAACACATAAACATACAAAATAATTTATTTTATTTTATACTGATGTGTATAAAAGATGAAAATTTAATAACTACATGTAATTGATGTAGAAAATAATTGACACGTGGGATATAGGTACTGTTTTTAGGTGTTGGGGTGCTGCCTAATTATATAGCATTAACATGAATTAGGGTAACTCCAATAATAAAATTAATACAGATAATTGTAATTAAGTGGACTGTATAATTAAATAATAAAAAAAATCACACAGGTAATAACATGTGGCAAATAAATATAATTGTAACAAGTTTTATGCCTTAAATTGTCTTTATAACAAATAAAACAATAGATAATAAATAACAGTATTTTAACAAATGAATAACATAACCATGTAGCACACCACGTACCTTAGGTATGATTATGGTGCCATATGGTGCCCAGATCCGTATATAATAAGTTTAATATGGTACAATAAAAAATGACAAGTTGATCTGGCACACCCATATAACCACCGCCAAACATACGACGAAGACCGAAGAATAAAATTGCAACCAACAATATAATACAATAGCAGACCAAACAAAACCACAGAAACCACGAGTTGCTCACCAACGACAATTATTACATAAAATGAACTTCCTGCAAATATAATATTAATAATTAACAGCCCCAGCAGAAGGTGATCGAACGATACATACCAAACATAATAATCAAAGTTCACCGAATGATGAACAACACGTGGAATAAAAAACAATTTGATGACTCACAATGGCCGCAGATAAAACCGACAAAAACAGTTAACGTTCCGAGAGCACCGAAAAAAGAAGAGAATACAACACAATGGCAAGACCGAGTACCACAACGAATATAAAATTCAAAATAATAATATGAACATAGAAACGAACCTTCAGTGCCACATACACAACCGATAAATAGAAGAAATCATTGTACTTTTGGTGGTATTGATAAAATGACTGCACAACAGCTATATAAAAATAGCGCACAAAGGTTACTGTGTAACATTTATAATAATAATAACAAGAATTTTATGATAATAATAATACAAACAACAAACAATACCGATCATAGCCACTTTGCTTATGTGAGCGGGAACAATAGGTGAAATTTACTATGTTGTATGCAATTCAATTTGTTATGTGCAGTTACATATTTCCAAATATTTAAGTAAGGTTACTAAGTAACCTTAATGATAGGTTTAGACCTTTATTGAATAAATGTTTAAAAAATCATATATTAAGAGGATGTGGCACCAGCATGTATTGTCTCCATCTTACAAGAGTGTAACATGGCAAATTTTACTCTCAGACGATCAAATTTACCTCTGTTAGTTAAAAATTAGAGTGAACTATTGACCTCTCATAAAATTTAAAGGTAAAATTATTATATAGGGCATTTCGTAGGAATTTTATTATATTTTAATTTTAAAGCAAGTTATAAGCATTTAAAATGTACAAATCTTACCTTTACATTTTATAAGAGGTCTATTCACCCTAATTTTTAAATCAACAGAGCTAAACATGATCTACAATCATACAATTTGCTGTGTTACGCAGTTGTAAGAAGCAGACAGCACATGCGGGTGCTACGCCTTCTTAACACAATCTGTATAATGTTTGTACACATTTATTACAATAAAATGAGAAAAAATAAAACAAAATAGCTATAATGTTTGATAACAGAGAGAATATTATGTTTATGTTACTTTATATAATTAGTTAATTTAAAGCTAAATTCTAAACTGACTGGCAACTTCCTTAATAAGAAAGAGTTCAACTATAATTTGAATATATTTATATACGAGCAATGTTACTAGCTAATAAAAATTCTATTAATATCAATAAGTCTCAGTGATAGATTTACACATATGCCCGGGCTTAGGGCTCAACAATTAAGTATATTGGTTTTTCTCAAACTATTATTTGGAGCAGAAAAATTCTGGTCTTTTTATAATCATATCATACTGAAAATATATTAAATTAATTTATAGTATAACTAGCTGACTCGGCAATGCTTTGCTATTGCTGGATTTCAGTACATTTACATATGTGTTAGAGAATATGTGAAAAGTTTGATATGAATTATATCAGATATTTAATTTGATTATTTTTTTTTAGCATGATTTTGTATATAAGTGTGGAATATATTTGTTTCGTTATGGTGTATGATTTTTATTTTTTTGTCAATTATATCAATTTGTCTTAAGCATTTAATATTTCTGGACACACCACGTTAAGTGTCTCGCCTTCTGGGGCCAGTTCAAATAGATTTTGTTTGCATATGACATAGAGCTACGTACTATTGACCATGGGAAAAACACTGGACTGTTAAGTCTAAACCTGCAACGTTTAATGTTTGATCTTGGGCCTTATTAATAGTCATTGTAAAGCTTAATTTCACGAGAAATTGGAGCCGTTTGAACTGGAATGACAAATTGGTTGATATCGTTGGTATTCTAGGAACCAAGACCATTTCCCTGCTCCATAGCCAGTAAGGATTAAACACTCAAGCAGACAGTTTTTTAAAGATTTTATGTGTAATCTTGCATAACTTTGCAATGGTACCTTTAGAATTCATTTGTGCGGTGGAGTCCCCCTGTATCTAAAACAGTGTCAACGGAATAGTACACTTTTGTTGGTGCATTGAGTTTTAACAGTACCATATCATTTATTGTATTGACTTGATCATTAGTTGGTGACAATATTGCCCTTTCTAGAAACCAACTTTACGTTTTAGTCGAAATATTAGATAAATCTGGGTAAACATTTTCAATTAGGTCCAGCAAATTAGACATAAAAAAACATACGCACAGCAGTTCCCCCACACCATGTGCATCGACAACGATAATTAATGTGTTATCTGTGTACTGAAATAACTCAAAAATTAAGATTAATGCATATAACAGATATAATAATCGTTGAGTGAAAAGTAATAGCTAAGTAAAAAGCGGAAAAACATGGCAAAAAATAAGTGTCAGATACCGTGGTTTGAATTCGAGACACTGTCTTTGAAATCTTATAAAAGTGTCACTGCGCAAGAGAAATCTGTGTACGGGGCAACATTTTATGCTATTTAAGTATATACGGATGTATGGCACAAATAATTTTTTTATTTTATTAATCAAGTTATACGAATAAATTGTATACTAAAACCTTCCCTGAATCTAGACCAATTAGTTAATGAAAACTGTACTAAAATCCGTTGGGTACTTTTTGAGTTATGCATTTAAGGATAAATTGAGAAAAGAAATTTAAAATTTATTGGTATTTGGTTGCATATTTTATGAATTGCTGTATCACCAAAAATGAAATAGGCACTCAATGATTAATTAGTAGACAGCCAAATATAAAAAATGTTGATTATTAGAACTACTATCACGACTAAAATTAGACTGCAATATGAATCAATAAATCTTGCTCTCTGAAAACTTATACACTTTCTTGAAATTTGTTAGGTGTTTGAATAAAACATTTAATTACACATAGAATTGTAAACAATGTTGAAGAAGTATATTTCACAATTGACAGAGTTGAATACTGTGGAAATGTTAAGGACACTTAACTGAATTTACCGGCAGATAAAAAATAAAATAATGCACAAAGTGTATATTATGACATTATAAATCTGTTTTTTTAATGATTACAGACCAAAAAATAAAATTTCAAAACAATAAAAAAAATGTCGTTTTATTATTTATTAATGAAAATTAAAAATGTTAATACATGCAGTTTTACCTACTGTTTATTTTTTTTTACACAAAATCAGCCTATTTTTTTTATATTTAAAATTAATTAACTATAACCCTCTAAAGTTTAGTACATTTATTTATTTATTTATTTATTTTATTTATTTATTTTATCGACGCCTCAGGGGCATAAGTATAGTACAGATTATAATTATGGATTATACATAATATAACAAGGTAAGAAAAAAAGAACATTGGTGCATGAGTAAAGAATAAATTAATGAAAATATTAACAAGTACAATTTTTAAGTTTAAGAATTAATGATGGCAAAGAATCATTAAAAATATCAATATTTGACATACTATTAATAGATCGACAAGCACGATCAAGAGGGGCTGCGTACCCATAGTTAGTGGTGTGAAAATTCGTTTTAAAAGTTTGGGGATTTCTGGAATAAAAAGAAGGAACTGCTAAAGATAATTTAGCAAGTAAATCAGGAGCATCAATATCATTGTTCAATAATTTGTAAATAAAGGTAACATCAAATTCAACACGTCTATCAGTTAGAGATTTAAAAGTATACGGGTTAATCCCGCACCGAAAAGTGCTCATTTTTATAAATTTATTTTGTACTTTATTTATACGATTAATATGTAATTGTTGATGTGGTGACCAAATAATAGCAGCGTATTCAAGAATTTAACGGACTAGTGACATATATAGAGTATTCAATTCGTTAATATTAGAGAAACCGATGGTGTTACGATTTAAAAACCCAAGTATTTTATTGGACTTATTACAAATGTAATTAATGTGGTCATTAAACGAAAGGTTGGAAGAGAAAATAACACCTAGATCTTTTATTGTGGATACTGGGACAAGGTGATTCGAATTAATAGAATATTGGAAGTTGATATACGAGCGAGTACGAAAAAATGATATATAATTACATTTGTTAATGTTTATTGATAAACCATTATCAGTGCACCATTTATAAAATTTAACTAAGCAACTTTGTAATTCTAAGCAACTAGATGTGTTGTTAATAACATTAAAAATTTTCAAGTCATCATCAAAGAGCAAAAATTTACAGTTAGAAAAGCATTGGGACACATCATTAATAAAAATGTTAAATAACCACGGAGAAAGGTGGGCACCTTGTGGGACACCAGAGGTAACGGAAATGGGAAAAGAAGAATAATTATGAATTTTAACAATTTGGGTGCGGGAGGAGAGGTATGATTTGAACCATGTTAATAATGGATCCGATACACCATACAGTTTATAGATATCTTTTGACACAAATTCATATTTATATCATTATTATCTGTTACCAAACATCTAATAGATCACAATATAAAGATTTCATTCATTTTAAGGATAAATATGGATATAAATAAATAGATATTTATTCCAATATTATTTTAATTAAAACTTTATAAAACATTTGATAATTAATAATACTTTGTTACTTGCAATATTTAATATTATAATAATCGTTTATAAATTATTATGTATAATACCTAGTACATGTACTAAATACTTAAATGCTTAATACTTAATACTGGAAATGGTCCAAATACATAGTAGGTACACAAATTTCTTAGGTTATTCATAAAAATATATAATATTTCAATTGTACCTGTATATTAAACATTTATCGCTACTTTTCCTTTCTCAATATTTAATTAATTTATGATGTTTTAAAAATAATTTTTTTTATACACAATATGTATATGTTTGGCAAGATAACAAAAAATTTAATTTTATTTATAATAAATATTTAAATTATTGGTTGATATTTCAACACTAATGGAAAATCCTACAGCATTGATATCTGATAAAGGTCAGAACTTAAAATGGAACATGAATAATACTCAATAAAAGCCAGTGTCATGTTGAACGCTGTAACAAAGATATACAAAAACACATGCTCTCTCAATGAATGCAAGAACAAAATACAACTCAAAGGGGTCTATGTATTTAAAGTTCAGTCCATAAACAACAGGGCTCTATGGGGATTAATAATACTTTATACTGGTGGTTGGAGACTCTACCTCCAGATTTCACTATGCAATCAAAAGAATATATTTCAGGCAACGTTCACACACACAAAAGTGCGCGTTTTTAATATAGGCAGGTGGCGGCTTGTATTAACACGGTACCAGGTACTGAACACTTGTGATGGGCGGAGTCACCAACCGCCAGTATGTTTGACGTGGACTCTAGTTAGTATATTGATGAAAATGCACTTAATGCTGGCAATTCTAAATGAATTATAGTCGTGTAAACTAGGGCTAGCAAAGTAGCAAATATATAATCTTTCTATACCAGAAATATCTACAGTATTAATTTATAAATTAGCCCTTTCAGTTTCAATTAATTATAAACTTTTTATTATATGCATTCATAAGTAAATTTAAATTTAATGTGATTAACTTGTATCATATTGTTTTGAATTCATTAAAAAATAATAATACATTAAATATTTTTTGGTGTAGTATTAAATAGGAATAACAAAAAATCAAAATTCATCTGAAATAAAATTAATGTTTTTTTCTTAAACTTAATTTCATTGTAAAGATTATATGAACTATTTAAAAGTAAAGAAATCACAAAATATTCAGATATTTTTTTTTTTATATTTTTATTTGAAATTAACAATCTATACAGTTTGCATAATAAGTTTATATGCTGAGAGTAAGAAATGACAAGAAAGTTGTGAATTAAGCAACCACCCATTAGTGACTCTTCAACTCTTGGCTATTGATAAGTTAGATTTTTTTTTTTGACCATGAGATGTTTGACATTAAAGTTTTGTTTAAGGCCACAGCACCAGTTTCTTTTTAATCTGAGGTTAGGATTTCCTGGGAGAGTAAGGATGGAAAGATCTATTATGAGAGGGTTAGGATGAGTTTGGAGTTGTTTATGAAATTGTTTGTAGTAAGTGCTTCCTCATCTATTGTTTTCATATGGAAATCATTATGAAGAGCTTAATTAGAAATATAGGGCGGAGCATTGGATAATTGTTGGCGTGATATGTTTTGGAAAGTTTGGATTCTACCTATTAGTGTTAGATTTTTTTGCTGCACCCCACAATTGAAGTCCATACGTCCAGATTGGTTTGAGTAGCGCTTTGTAAATAAATATTCAGATATAAAATAAAAATATTGTTGAGTATTCATTACACACAGGGCTCTGAATTTGTAGTATTACAAATAACTATAATATAACTTAATAAATATTGCAATGTGACTACAAATAAAGACAATAGGAACAAAAGATTTTTTCAATAACTGAACTTTTCAGTAAAAATACTTAAATAAGGGCAATTCGAAATATAAACTGAGCTGATAACTTAAGTGTACTCGTTTATGGTTCATTGTTATAAATATAAATTCAATATGATTATTAGTGATTAAAACGAATTTGGAAATTTCAGATAGCCATAAGAACCCAGCGGCCTTTAGATAGTCAACTGGTATGAGATAAATACCAAACAATACATTGGCTAGTACATTACAAGTTACAACTCACATCATTTACTTCCACAAACTGTAAAATCTTTTCTTATTTTTTTTCTAAATGATCATAGTGAACAATTGTTTCTATACCTATGGTTAAAACAAAATTAGGAGGGAGTTGTAACTCCTGAACCTTTTCTATGGTTGCACCACTGGCTATAAGACATCACACTAACATCATCAATTCTAACATTTAAACAAGTAATTTTAATTTAAAAAAGGCTCTATTATATTGCTTGTGTTATATAAGTGTCAATACCAATGTGTACGTACACATATATGAAAATAACAATAATAATAGTAAACTAGTGTAGTACTCACCCACTATGGTTTGTAAAAATCCAGAAAGTTTCCGGGACCAGATGATGAAAAAAAAACGGTTGGGCGTGTGTGGTGTCTTTAGAATAATAATGACAATATTTAAAACTTTCGATTGGAACGTGGAAAGTGCATAGTGATTTTCGATTCACTCACAAAACCCTATCTATTATTCCGATTCGACACCGCGCGAATAATTACGTGGCCCAACCAGACCGGTACTGATAATGTGAAAATTAAAATCGTCAACGGATGGGGAGAAAAAGACCAAAAACCGTATAGAAACTCAGACCTCAGTTGAGTACAATCGATCTGATTGATTGATAACTTTAAAATATCGGCTAGTCGAAACTATTCGATAGTAGTTTTACCTATTCAGTTTTTATTATATATTAATAACTAATAGTTATTGAATGTATTACTTATTCAGACATAGTTAGATACTAGTCGCTAGTCAGATAGTCTGGTAGTGTCATTCCTAATAAAATTAAACTCAATATTCATTTCATAATTCGATCTTTCGATAGCGTCAATTGTCCAAAAAATTTGTTTTACGTAAAACTTACTACTCGATAACGTTGTATAAGGTATACAGTGATAAGACGTCTTTATGTTTATTGCCAGTTATCACTCGGCCACGTCTCGTTCAGTGGTGACCAAATGCTCATTCGAGGAGCTTAATTTCTTCTGTATTCGTCTACACATTTTACGCATCATTAATACTTAATCGACTTATCGTATCAATGTATCATTCATAATAAATAATAATATCTAGCCTAACAGAATTCCAGCCCGTGCGTGTCTTCTTTATTATTGAATAACACCACTCAAATCGCGATTGTCAATTGCGAATTGGGGTCGTTTCAGTTCGTCGTAACGTCCATGTGTGTGTGTGTTTTTTGCGAGCATGAAAAATGTGTAATCAGTAATATTTTGTGTTTTGCACTTAGAACTTAGAAGGGGGGTCGTCAGTGGTTGAGTAGAGTAATATTATATTATTATTTATGTAATTTCTACACGATACACAAAACGCGTGCCTAGGTACTTTCTATTTTGCAAAATATTTCTACTCTTTTTGATTCGGTTTATTTTGGCAGACTGTTAGGATATTCAAGGGGGGGATACTCGTTGATGGTTTAATAATATTATTGTTTTATTGTCGTGTTGTATGGTATCGTCGAACTAAAATAAAAAAAAACCCGAACAATAGAGCAATTATCATCCTCCGCCCAATCAATTAGCGCAACACAAATCTGAACAATTTGAATAATCATCCGTAAATTGGCAACGCTTGGTCAAAGTTTTTTTTAATTTTCATTATAATAACGTTTTGTATTAAAGAAATATACCAATTTTACATATTTCAATAGCAGTTGTCTACTGGTGAATAGTGATTAGGGTTTTAATAGTAAAATCTTCTTTCGAGGTTACTCAAAATCGTGGATATGTCTATGAACGGCAAAGAAACTTCATTCACATCGTCAGACGCCAGTAATGAAGTAAGAATTAAACTTTTTTTTACTCATTCTATAGTTTTAGAGAGGTATAGCATTTAAAATATATTTTATTTTTAGAAAATCACTGCTGCAAAAATGCCCTATAAAAGCTACAGGCCTAGATCTGTGTCTACATGTTCAACAGATTCATGTAGTTCTGGTAAGCATTTATTATGGCATTATACTTTTTTTTCATCTATTGGTGTAATACATTTATGACACTTTTTTTTACCATGCTTTTATAAGCTACTAAATTGTAACTTTTATTAATATTGAAGCAGGTAGCAATAAACATAAATGTCCTAGATAATTAAGAAGGTACTTACTGATAAATTATATATTATATGAATATCACTGTAATACAATACCTACTTATTTAAAATTATCCATAAAAATTTGTTATCTTTTTGAAAATTATGTAAAAATATTTAGGTAATTTAAGAATTATTTTTATTTTACTTAAAATAATATAAGGAAAAAACTAATACAATTTAAGTTAGAGTGGATGTCATCACATTTTCTCTCTGACCCAAGCACCAAGTAACAAATTTAAGTTCAGCAGATCCAATATTAAGTTAACTTAAACATTAAAGTGAATTGACCGATTATCAAATTTAAGTTGGGAACATTATAATATATGTTAGTAAAATATTACAATTTTAATATGGTAAAAATGCCAATGTACAAGTACTAATTATGTTCTAAACTTTTTGTTTGGTAAGTCAATTTAGTTAAATATTAAAGCTAACAATACAAGATAAACCCAAATTTCATAATATGGTGTGCTATGCTTTTGCATTAGATAGAGAAAATGAATGGTGGCTGATATTCAGATATTCTCTAAAAATAAAATATCATTATATATTTTTAATTTCTTACATTTTCTATGTTGTTTCTTTGTTTTTTCTGTCTATTTCTAACATTTGTGCCCGGGTATAAAATTAATTGTTTAAAAACAATAAAATAATTTTTTTCTTATTTACAATTACAATTTTATTTTAAAAATAACCAATCTTTGATATTTAACTGTTTTAGTACTTATTTATTTTAATAAAGCGCACCTATTAATAATTGTTATTATTTTATTATTATTAAAATATATTTCTTACCAGTGGTACCTAATTTATTTATAACATATTATGTCATAGTAGATTTTTTTGAAATGGGGAGGATTACCATTAGGGTACTGCAGGGATCTGGCTGCAAATGTATAGTTTATGTATAGTTAATTTCAACTTTAAAGATTATAAAAACCATTTATGAATGATTGATAGCTGCTGCTATTCAATGCTATATATCCTATATTTTTTTAGATTTTATGGTTATAGTATGAACAATATTTTTAAATAATTTACAACAAAATAACTTAAGTTGTAATTCTTTATTTAAATATCATAAATTTCAACTTAAAATAGGATTTACAAAAAAAAACTGTATTCTAAATTCTAAACTATTTCTTTAATTTTTGTTTTACCCGAATTTTTAAAAAATACTGAATTTTCATATTTAACTACTCAAAATAATAAACTATATTTCTTTATATATTATTTATTTTATACCTACTTATAAATTTTGTATCCACTATTTACAACCAGTGATCCATTATAAACCACCCTAAAATTATAAATATAAGCATTTTACTTCTATTTTTTATGTACACACACAAAAAAAAACATGATTATAAAATCAAAACATTCATCAATCCGTTTAGAATCATACATTTATTTAAATATTTGTTCAGCTAAAACTTATAAATAAATATTAAAACATTGCATTATGTAGGGGCTTTGATTTGGATCTAATTGTTACATTTAAAAAAAAAAAAAGGGAGGATAGTGGGCGGCTTGATGTACAATGTATTTGTATATTTCAAACACTTTGCCGCCACTGCTTCTTACAATATGCTTAACTTGATTATTTAATCAAATAAATTATATATTTTTACAGCAAGTTTATCTGAAGATGATACTCCTGTTAGATCTAAAAAACAACAAAATAGTTCTGGATTTAGTGATTTTTGCATAAAAGATATTAGACTTAAAGATTTTGGAAGACGTGAAATTGAATTTGCTGAACAAGGTAATGAATAACATAATTATATTATATTAGCTAAGATAATATCACTTATTTATACATGCAAATCTTTCATTAACAAAATCTTTGGTATTCATCACATGTGATGTACTAGTGGACAATTTAGTTTAATATCTGCCCTATATTATTAAATAATATTTTTTTATATTGTGTATCATTAATAAACACCATTAATATTTTGTATTTATGGTGACAAAAGAACCAATTTATATCTCAAAATACTTTATTTTTTAATAACTTAAATCCAAATTAATGGCGACACATTTGGCTCAGAGGCTTGGTGAACATTTGTAAAACATGATACCTACCATATATTTCAGCACCTACCCACTCATAATCCCCTTAATATAATATATAATAGTAGATATAATTATTATGTGACAATAAACATAATTTTATGTTATTTCTTACCATAATTGTTGAGTGGTTGGCCACCCACTCAAAAAAATTCTATCATGACGCATAAAACTTGGTTTACCATGCCACTAATTTAATCATTAAGACTATACTGTATTATAAATAAAATAAAATTCCAAGAAGAAAAAATGTTTTGAAGACACACATCACAATGTTACCGAACACGATGGTTTAGAACAATCGGTGTATCGTGTTGTTGCATTTGTAATGTAATGTTGGCTCATGAGTTATTTAATTTTACACAATGTGTGATATTTTAAAAATTAAATTTTACTATTAACTCATTAATGAACTATACATCTTCAATGTTGTGGTGATAATTTTGCATACTAAGTATGTTATTACTACCCGTGTAGTTTTTTTAGGTAAATCAAGTTACCAATAAATTTTCTTGTTCACTGTATGAATACCAAATTAAATCATCTCATTAAAAAAACCAATAATGCTTTTCTTTGTCATTTAAAATTGTAATTAGAACCATATTTAGACCAAAGTTCTAAATATGTCTTACAATTTTAACTTATTTAATGATACCTATACTTCCTGTGTTTTCATTAACATAATTGAAAAATTGTGTCTGTTAAATATAAATAAAATATTGAAATGTATTTGATTTTTCAGTTAATGTTATGAAAATATAAAGTACTGGTAGGTAGTCATTAAACAATAGTTAAAAAAGAATAGATATTTTCAACATGCTATCATTAAAACATTTGTAGTCTTAATCTATAGCAAAACTCCTCTTGCATTTCTTACTTTGAAACCTTGATGTGTAAATTAGTTAAACATAACAAATTAATTTATTATATTTACTAAAAATATGTTAATCTAGAGTCCTACACACCTAGGGGTTGTCAGAATTAACATTTTTTTAATTAGGATTTAACTATTATTATTTATTTATTTCAGCCAAATCAATTACAATAAATTACATTAATCATAGCTGATATGTATACTAACTGAGCTATAAGCTTGTAATTTGTATACAGAGTTCATGGATATTGTAATTTATTTTATAGTAAAATACTTATTCAAATTACAAAAATACAACTTAATGTAATTAGTATAACATAGTATGGACATTTTAGAAGAGAGAAAATACAATGTAACAACATTGTTACAAATGGATAAAATATTAAGTTAGACATATTGACATTTTACAATTTTATTAATATACATATTATCCAGTTAACTAATTATTTTATTTATAGCATTTTTTGTTTGATTTTTATTCTAAAATAAAATTTTTCAACAATACAGTGCTCATATTAATAGTTTTGCTCATAATTTAAATATTCATTAAAAAGCCTTGTGAGGCACTATTATCTCAAGTCCAAATTAATTTTTATAATGTAATATGCTTACCTAATTAGTACTTTGATTGCAAAATGAGAAATACAAAGAGCAGTTTTGGTATATTAATATGTTTTGTGAAAGTTAAATAATAAATGACCTGGTAACATCCAATTAACATCAACTACTTAAATCAATTATTTTACAATTTAAATAATTTTTGTTGCAGAAAATATCTTTTTTTAATTTGAGAGGTAATAACACCTCGTTTCTTAAAAGACACGTTTCTAATAAACTCTAAATATTTAAAAAAGTTTGCTACTGATTATCATTAATTAGTTTCTAAAAAAATCATTAGTTTTAACAATGAGTGTAGTATTTAAAGAATTTTTAAACCTATTTTGTGCATACTACACAAATAAATACCATCCTACTTTTTCTATTTTATAAAATGTAAAATATGAATAAGTAGGATGATGAATCTCAAATTAATAAATTTAATATGTTTTCAGATTTCTTATCCCATTACCAATTTGATCGATGCCAATGTATCATGAACATTAGAGCCTAATGTCCATGATTGGTAAGGTGTACAAAGAATATGAATATTTTTCTTAAATCCCTCAAAGCAACATTAAACATCTTCATAATTTTAAAGCCCGATGGGCGATGACTATATACTTTCTAATATTATATTTACTAATGCCATTTAATGTCAAGTTGATATTAATACCAATAAAAAAAATATTTATATACAGTAAACCCTGAAAACAGAATCACCTTAGTACCAACTAATTTCTCTGTTATAGGGAAGACTAAAATATTGGGGATATAGTTTATATGGAATTGTTGTTATTTTTTGTTGTAAGGAGATTTCCATCTTATAATGGTTTGTACTCCATTATAAGGTTAGATTTAACTGTGTATTATATTTTTATATTTAGCCTGTTGTAGTATATCATACAGATTTAATAGTTTTTATTAAAAATCTCATTTTGCATAATAGTAAGCAAATATAAAATGTTCACTTTTCTAATTTATTTATAAACCCTTTTTTTACATAAAATTTAGATTCATACTTATGGTTGCTAACCATCTTATTCCTTTACTTATTTATTGTTGAATTGTACATTATATTCAATTCAGCAGATTTGTAAATTGACATTTAAAATTTACTGCTGAAATATACTGTATATCTAGTTTGTCTATATAACTTCCTATATTAGTCACATTCTGATGTTTAAAATTTTTGTTTAGAAATGCCTGGTTTGATGTCTCTAAGGAAACAGGTGATGGAAGATAAGCCATTACGGGGAGCCAAAATTATTGGATGTACACCTATTACTGCACCAACTGCTGTTAGTCAATAAAATATTTTAATTGTACAATTGTCAATTATTAAACATTGTTTATATTATTTTAAAGGTATTAATCGAAACATTGGGTTCTCTTGGCGCTGAATTGAGATGGAGTGCTTGCAATATTTATTCAACACAGGTACTTATAAAAAATGTTGTTTAAATACCCCTCATTTTATACCGTACAATACTGCACAGATTTTCTATACTTAAAAGGAAAATATAAAAGGTCAATCATTCAAAACCACACACATTTGATTGCCAGTTAAAAATTAAACGTTTATTCATTGTTATTATAAGAAAAATAATTCAATACAATCTATATCAGATTCTATAATTTTAATACTATAAATATTTTTTTTGATAAGATAAAATAAAGATGTAGAGTATAGTAGACCTATATTTCTAGTCTTTTCAATTAATTCTATTAAACTTATTTCATTGCTAATGAAACGAACATATAAATTTAAAATAGTATAAAATATTTAATTGTGATTTTCGTTTAGCACCTAATAATTCTTTTAAATCTGTATTAATAAGTTCCTTGTTTTTGTGGTTATGTTTACTTTCATTTCATATGATTTTGATTAAATATAGTTAACTGGTGTGTGGTCCTAAATGATCATGCAATTTTAAATAAATGTGTGTGTTATTGATACATATCAGTATGTCATGTGAACATTATCAAACATTTAGTTTTGGGAAAACTGTGGAATTGATGCATACATTTTTGCGATTATGACGACTTCCGGGTTTTAACTATTAGTGTTTATTCATTACAAAACTATTATAAGTGATATCAACTTTAAGATATTTAAAACAGTTATTTATTTTTTAGAATGAAGTTGCTGCTGCTTTAGCGGAAGCAGGTAATAATGGGCATCACAAGTTTTATTACTGATATGAGAAAAATAAGGCATATGAGATACTATGCTGAAGTGTGAACCCTATACAATCTTGTGTCTGTTTGATGAATGTATGGATTTTTGGATGAATTGGTGTTGCATAATTTTCAAAAAGCTATATATTACCTAAGGATTTGATACTGGTGTGAATCATAAGACTTTTCCAATCGCCAGTGTAATTTCCTCAACATAACATCATTCCTAAAACTGTCTCCTAAATTGGTCAGCATTAATGAATCTCCACTAATCTATGTTCTACAACATTCTTACTCTGTGTCACCTATTTATTCTACAACCTTTTAGCATCAGTTTTGTCATGGGTTAAATATGAAGATAATTTGAGGTTGTATTCACTTGGAATTTCATTTTATATATGCAAAATGGAAGCTTTCTTTGTCGAATGAAGTATTAACTATGAATTATATATTGAAGAATTTAATATGTATGTACTATGAGTTAAACTCTTTATCGAATGAGAAAGAATCATGCCAACTACAAAGAATACTAGCCACTCCAAACGGTTAACACCATTACTTATCTAAAGTTTTGTGCATGTTTTGTGTATGAGTAAAGATCCTAATTAGATTCATATTTCTATCATCCGATAAATTTTTATTAAAAATAATAATTTTGTTATAAAATAATTATGATAAGTAAAATCAAAATATTTAATATTTAATTTTTTTTTTTAAATTTCGCATTAGTGCCTTGTTAGTAATCTTCTAATATTACTTTCCCTCATCATTACTTCCCCTATTACTCCCCCCCCACATAAGAGTCTCAGTGGGGCCCAGTGTTTTTTTTTTTTTTGAGAAGTAAATAAATAATAATAATTAATATTAACTACATTCAAGTGAATGATGATTTCCTAGTATATTATGATAAGTGTCTGTTATTATTACAACCAAGTTGATTTGACCAACTGTAATGAATACTTAATTGAACATTAAATTAATATGGATATGCTTAAACTAACTATTAAGAAGACTTTATGCTATATACTGTGTGAGTGTAACTCATTATCTATTCCAAGACAATCAATTGATTATAAGAAAGCTTATCTGGAATCCTAATCAGGAGTAGACTTACCCAAAGTGCTATAAACCAAGTAGCATTTATGATCCGGGCCTTGATTACCTCTGTCTGGCCCTTTCTTAAATTTAACTACTATTGTAATTTAGAACTCTTTCCTAATTTTAGTAAGTTTAAAAATACAAACAGGCCCTTAATTAATTTTGCACCCTGAACTAAAAATAGCCTGTCCTCTCCTGCATAGAATATAAGACAAAAATTTAAATAACACTTATAGTTTGAGATGAATCAAAATTACTCTTACATGTATAAACCAAAAGCCCAATCGCCTAACATATTGTTAACTTATTTGTGTATGCAATTTGCCTTTAAGTTTTAAAAAGACCGACCCTTTGTAAGAATAACCAATAACTACTAAAACTAAGCTAACTATTATTATTTGTCAATTGTATTGTTTGGCGTGGTTTTTAATTTGAATGATGTGGTAACTCGTAATTACTGTAGTCTATACAAATGTAGCATTTTAATAATTATAATTGTATTATTATTTAAATCAAGTTATACTAATGTATTTTTGAAGAGTATATGACCATAATGCCACTGATTATGAGTATTACTTGTTCCTTTTCATTTAGAACTGTGTATAAACACATATATTTTTTGTAAGTTTCAGTACTTTGTACAAAGGTTTACTACCATTGTTTTGTAACTTATTTATTTTTTAGAAATTAAAAAAACATTATTTTTATTACTAATTATGCTTTGTTGATTTCATTCTTATGGATTTATTTGATCGCTACATATATATATATATATTACTTCTATTTAAAGTTTTAAAAATGATTTTTCGTAATAATTTTAAATAATTAATTAACTTGGTTATTATTTTCTTATTATAAAATGTATCTTTATTTATATATGTATTTTTCAAATATCATTAACTTTGTTATGTTATTGAACTGCTTTACTTTTTACAAATTTTTATTATCGCTATTATTATTATTTTTTAACATTTAAAATAGCTTTTTTGTGTACTTGATATCTTATGTATGAAGAAAATGCAGAAAAAACATAATCTTTGTATCGTAAATTAATGGTTTATTGTTTTCCAATATTTTTTGGCGGAGTAGTTGTAAATTTCTCTCAGTATTTATCGACTGGTAAAGATTATATTCAATCAATGTTGAAAATGACAATAACTTGTCAATTGTTTGATAATCTGAGATTGATGTGAATGACTATAAATGTTACCAATACAAAGTGCCAACAGGATGACCCAATTATGATATTTTATACAAATCAAATAATCATTTTATTGTGCCTTGTAAGACTTAGTTAAATTTAAATTGCATAATCTAGTTAATGCTTAATAAGAACAATCAATTGGTTTTACAGTGATATCTGATAGAACTTTGTGATCCAAAAATACTGTTAAAGACAACTGCATCCATGAAAGTTTTCATTCCTTTTTGATTTGCTTACAACTGTCTCAAGATGATGAATGTTATCTGTGAATTTTTTTTTTAATAAGAACATTTTGTTCATATTGATGTTCTAAAATATACTTTTACTTTTACATTGCACAAATAGCATCGCTCAAACTGTATTTGGAACTAAGTATAGGGTAATGACTTAAACTGGGTTAATCATATCTGTATGCTAACAACAATAATCACTATACAATATATAAGTTTACAATAAATGTGGACCTATAACATTGCCTAATATATTATGAATATAATTAAAAGACACTCAACATTATGTAACTTCACCATGCTCTGTTGATTATAGAATTATAAAAAACCGACAATTAAATACATTTTAAATGATTTTAGATATGTAGCTAAAATAATAAAAAAAATTTGTATTGATAGTAAACTTAATGTCAATGGCAATATCTCGAAACACTGTGTTTTTTTTTATTAATGCAGTTACTAAATTTTAGGATTTCCAATATTTGCATGGCGAGGTGAATCTGTTGATGATTTTTGGTGGTGTATTGAAAAATGTTTTGAAGGCAAGAATTGGAAACCTAACATGATTTTAGATGATGGAGGAGATGCAACTAATTTTTGTCAAGCAAAATATCCTAGTATTTTTAAAAATTTAATTGGTAAATATCTACATGCAGATCATGGTTTATAATTATTTATTTTGAAAATTTTAGAAGTTGTGTGTTTTGAATTTTTAATTGATAAAAACTAATATTTAATTTAGTTTGTTTTAGTTATCAAATTATTATTTGTTATCATATTTAGTTAATAGTGTGCAAGATATTTCACCAAATTGTTTCCATATCACAACAGGCAATATTGAAGCAAAAAAATCTTATTCCTATTTCCAATAGATTTTAGACTAAAATTAGTGTAGGTGCCTTATTATTAAATGGAAAGAGTAGAACTTTGTCTTAGATACAAAACCTTTATTTTTCATATTTTGATTTTAAAGTAAAGAGTTTTATAATTTATTGATTCTCATACCCTGCATTAAAATTGAAATACAAATGAATAAGTTCAGTCATTGATTGAGTGTTTCTAATTTAAATTGAAAACAATAATTTACTCTGGTTATTTTGGTTTAAAATTCAGAGTAGATGAAAAGTATAAAGAGATTATATTTTGCCTGTTGGTAGTAAACAATGTCTGGTACCATTATCTTAAATACATTTAATTTATAAATTTGGTATCTATTTTTAAAAAGAGTACAAGATAGCCGTTGCCTACTTGTTTTGCTTCATTTGAGCTGGACCATTTGGAGTACATTTGAAAGCAATAATTTACTATTGCATTTAGAAAAGAATATTAAGCGGTGCTTGACTTACAAAAATGATCATCCATTGTTTTTAAAAATAAATACGATGAAAAAAATTATGATAAATTATTATTAAGGTTGTCTCCTGGCTTTAAAAACAAGTTGCAAAATAAAATATTGTTAATAAATTTTGAGTTAAAATTTATTGATAGCTAAAATAATATACTTTCAAAAGTAATGATTAGGAAACATATTTATAGTAATGTTATTCACTGAAAAAACGTATTTTGTAGATAATTTAAAATAGTTATACATAACTATGCTAAAGCCTTTCTTTTGGTTATTAAAGTTGAATTAAAACTATGTAGCAAAACTCTTTCCTATATTTTAAGGTGTACCATTATATTTAAATTAATTTGATTTTAAATTCACACTTTTACAAAACTAACCCTCATTAAAATAGTCATCAAAAATATATTAGTATAGAGCAATACAATAACACACCCTAAATGATATTACATTTTTATTAGGAATAGTTGAAGAGAGCACAACTGGTATTCATCGCTTATATAAATTGTTGAAAGCGGAAAAACTTTTAATGCCAGCTATTAATATCAATAATTGTGTGACAAAAACTAAATTTGATAACCGTTATAGTTGTAGGGAATCTGTGATTGTAAGGTATGAACATCAATGAGTTTTGTTATTAATTAATTATTGTATTTTAATATATTATTATAAGTTTATATTTTATATTACAATAGCTTAAAAAAATGTACTGATTTGATGTTTGGTGCAAAACAAATTGTATTATGTGGTTATGGAGAAGTGGGAAAAGGATGTTGTCAATCTTTAAAAGGACTTGGTTGTATAGTTTATGTCACAGAAATTGATCCAATATGTGCCTTGCAAGCATGGTATGTATTGTTTGTTTTTATTTTACTGTATCAATTATTATTAAATAAATGTATACTAATGATTGAGTAATAAGTATCTAATTAAAACAATATTTAAATGCCATAGAATGGCTAATAAAATTCATTTAATGTGATTTTAATTTATAAAACTTAATACGGTGCCATTTACTATTTAAGAATAATCATACATGATATAATTTTTTTTTTTTATTTTGCTTATATTTCATTTTTATTTCTTGTAAACCCAAAATTATTGGAGAATGTTAACATCTACAATAATAAAATAAGTGCTCACAATCAGATATTTGTTTTTATAAAAACTCTTATATTTTGCTCAAAGTTGAAATAGTATACATTTATGTATTACGTTGTATTTTTTTCTAATGGATGATTGTAAATCATAGGTATATTTTTTTTTTTTGTAAAGAACAAAGTTCATAAATATTTAAACAATTTTGTTTTGTTTATCACTTCTTTCAAATGTCTTCCCCTAAAAAACTTTTTTTAGTTCTATTAATAATTTCCAATATTTTTATATTTCATAAACATGGTTTCAATTATGATTGAATTCGGATAAAAATAAGATGTATATTTTTTGATCTAAAAACATTGTAAGAGACAAACAACCAAATAATTGTTTTTTTTTATTATAAAGAAAAATGATTTATGTATAGAGATTTTAAATAATATTACCATAATTTTACATGAGATAATAAAAAAAAATAGAGAGATTTACTTTATAAATGTATTTATAATTTTTTAATTTATAATTTTTCAGTATGGATGGGTTTAAAGTTGTAAAGCTTAACGAAGTAATTCGTCAAGTGGATATTGTAATCACTGCTACTGGTAATAAAAATGTAGTTATTCGAGAACACATGGATAAAATGAAGTCTGGTTGTATTGTGTGTTGCATGAGTTATTGTCATAATGAAATTGATGTGGTAAGTAATAGTACTTAGGTTACACAAAATAATCTGTATAACAACTAAACAATGTGTGCTGAGCGTAAATTCTCCTTTATTCAAATCAATACAATTCTTACATTATGTTTTTTTAATACTTTTAACTAGTATCAACACGGCGTTCAACAAATACTATATGCATCATTAGTCTGTACTAATAAGATATAGTAATAGTAACAATTAGAAAGTTTATCAAAAGTATTTTCGATTGTTTTAAGTATCCCTTTAAGGTGTTTTTATACCTTGATAATAATTCTTTTTCAAAAATCCTTTTGTTTTTAGTCTTTAACTTTGTGATTTACAAATTAACCTACTAAGATAAGAGTAAAATTTACACTATAAACTTAAATATATAATACATAAATTACCATTTCAGTTCAAAATTAGTTCTAGCAAAATACTTTTAATTGTGGTAATAATGTAAAATAAGACGGAGTTGAAATAGGATTATTTATAGCATGTAATACAATTGGTCTTTACATTTTGATTAATAATACATAAATACTTAATTGTTGGCAATCTTTTGGTGATTACTGATTACTTAATTAATTTAATCAATAATTACGACGTCTGTACCTAGAAAATGCACAAAAAATTATTAAGTTATTCTATGACCAACTATACATCTTTCCTTGTTAGAAATCCTTAGATAAATATTGAATTGATAATGCACCTAATCATAGTGTCCTAAATAATTAGATAGATCGGTGGTGGTGCTTTAAAACATTATCATTTATTTCCTCAACTGCTAATTACAAAACATTTTAAATTTTAATTTAAAGTTTAAAAAAATTACTTCAGATATTAATTAATTAATACAGCATAATGTTTAATTTTAAGTAGGTATGAGATTTATAGGCAATTATTGTATGAGTTCTTTGACAAAATATCTGGACTATGCAAGAAGTCGATTTTAAATTTTAAAGACCTTCCAAATAAGGATATTACTTTTTTAATTACGTAAAATTGGTTATTGAATTACACTTACATTTATTTTATGAACATTATATTTTAAATAGAAGTATTGTTCCCTTTATAAGATTAGGCTGGAAACTAATAAATTCAACCATTTAGTTACAAGAAATTACAATCAAATTTATAACAATTTAACAATTAACTACAGCTTTTAGTAGATTTTATAGATATGTAAACAAATGTATTAAAGTTTCCCCGACATAGGTACTGACATGTGCATGCGTGTGCTAGAGTTAAAAAGCAGATTTACAGATTACACATTTATTTTCATTTACCACTCACGTATTGACACATCCAAATGTACATGTCATATGAATTGCCTAAATATTACTCCTTACAATATGTTACGCTCCAGCCGCTCAAATAATTATTTATTTTAAAATAAAAACTCGGACTCACCTTTTTCTGAAGATAATTTACATAAATATAATATTTATATAAATAATATAATATAATTTAACTAGTATTCAGGTACTTGAGTGTATGCTTATTGTTTTAATATCACCTATATATGAAGCCAAAAGTCTGTGGACTTCATAGTATTTGGAGTTAGAAAATAGTTTATCTACTGAACTGAATATATGGAACATGCGTCGGGTAGTCGTGCGTACGAACTAGTACGACTAGCCTCTATAGATGGTATTCTTTCGTACTTGTTGGTATTAGAATCTATTCACAATACGTGTCCATATAGTCAGTTCAGTGAATCGTTCCAATTACTGTTTTCTTGAAATTCGATTGGGAACAATAGGAACATATTTACTATTATTTAGTACCTAATGTTATTTATGCATAGACTCAAATCTCTGCTCTTCTGGCTTACACCATAAAAGGAGAAAAGCGTTGCCCGAATGTTCTCTAACAAATTCCTAATATCATAAAGTGCTCACAGTAGCAATATCTTACATGATAATGAGTTTATTTTTGTTGAACTTTTAATATCAAATATTTAAATTGTAACTGTAAAGTTTTGTATACAAATTACAAACTGATAAATTCCGGCAAAACGCTTTAGAATCTTTGGTAAAATTGGCTGGTATCTTGTGAACAATCATGAGCCATAGTCGTTCTGTAGAATGTAATACGCCGTACTGCAACCTATTATGCTACTTTGCGAGAGGTATATGTTTATTTGATTAGCCACACGCGTAGTGTTAAGTGTACATCTGTTACTGTTCATCTTTGTTTATTAAATGTCGTTTTTTAATGTATTTTATAGTAGGAGTGCCTCCAGTGAAAGGTTTCATCTTAAGCGAATAATTGTTCCCTGTGAATTAAATATTTGTAATCACAAATTATTATTGTAAATATTAACAGATTGCATTTTTAAAAAAATTATATTTTATAGAAATAAATATAAAATGGCGTATTCGAGTGGTCATGGACATTAGAAAAAGGACGTCGCTGTACTGTGCAGATAAAACAATATAAGTAGTCGGGAGTCAACAAATCTGCCAGAATGCACTTCAGGCAGATGTCAAGTCGTTTTTATACCTACAGTGTAGGAAAAGTATTGGTTTTTTATATTATTTTAATCTAAATGGTAAAACTTATAAATAATTAGTATAGAAAATAATTTAAAGACCACATTTTCTTCTATTGAATGAATGTATTTTCAATAACATATAATTTAATATATTAAGAAATAAGTATATTTTTTAATACTTTCCATTTGTTGTATTTAATAATATATCAATGCATGTAGCAATAGGTACGATTAAAGATAATTTACTGGTTAGTAGTTATCGACTACTGACAAAGTGAAATATGAAAGATCTGGTAAAAAATAATTTGTAGAGCTCATAGACATTACCTATGTCCCACACTACTAGACGGTGCATCCGGACAAGGCACCGTTAGGTGGTGTGGTCTTGTGACAGAGGGTTTGCAGTTTCTAAATTATAATGCAGATAATACAATTAAAATTATTAAAAAAATCGAAAATGTACTCATGTGTATGATGTACACCAAGAGCACTGGAATTATAGTCGTGCTCCGTCTATTGCATAAAATATAAAAAGGCATCAACTATCAAGATCCCATTATTCACTGAAAAATGTTTAAGTCGGCCTTGATGTCATTTTGAATGAGGTTCGGCATGATGTAACCGCATCGTCATTAAAAGTTTTTAAATATAATATTATTATACTGGTTTCATGACTGGTGTGTAAACTAATACAAATAACGAATTTGGGGCAGCGAGCACCTTCTGTAATGTTCCGTTTAGGCTCCCAAATGTATGTAGTACTAATATTTAGATACGACAAAAATAATAATTGTTGTCATAATTAAAAATTTTTTATTCGCTACGATGGACCGATGGAGGTAATAGTAGAAAATGATATTAACCATCAGTTATTGGTATTTAACCTAACCTTGACCATGGTTATTGTATATTCAATATTATCACGATTATAGATACAACTATGATATATAGATGTAACTACTTAAACCGTTTGAACTTTTTTCAACCAGGTGCCTAGTTCTACACGCATTTTCGTGACTAATCGGGGAGAGCCATGTTTTTCCGGCTAGTTGACCAGTATAATATACTAGATATTATCTTTAATCGTGTTTAAAATCCATGTCAAAATACTTTCCAACATCATGCTGAACCTCCGATAAAAAGAAAACAAATTGATCAGCTGTTTGGCTGTCACTTCTATTATGTTCTAATCTATAATAGTATTATGTCTATGTTAACGCTCCAAACGGTAGTTTCATAATGAACCGTAAAACCATGATTATTGATGTATAGGTATACAATCGCGGTGATCGACAATCCACCAACAATAATAATACATAGAGAAGGTAGTAATTTAATGTAATTTTTAATTTATAATCTTATTTTAATCCACCCATCATGACACTGATGACATCATTGATACAACTAATACAATTGTAAAGACTATATTAATAAGATTTGGTGCGAAATTTGATAAATAAGTCCAGTTATATAAGTAGGTACATTGAACGAGGTTAGGGTTAACCTAACCTAACCTAACGAGCCACATAGCTTTATGTGCCAATGTATTTCATATACGTATTCGAAAATATAAAAAGAAATTATGCTTGTCAATGAAAGTAAACACATTTAGAGTATAACCCATCCTTATAAACTACAACCTACAACCGTATTTATAGTTATTTTTAGTTCTAAGAATTTTTTTGATTGTTATTTTACTAATATATTGTACATTATAATAAATATTGTTTTATCAATAATCAATATTACTAATATTGTCAATATTCGCTATGGGTAGATATTTAAAATAAGTATATAAATTAAAATGAATGATATTAAATGAGTACTTTATAATTTATATATTATTTTAGGATGATTGTTGTCTTTATTTTCGAATTTGGCTGTTAGTCGATTTAACCTAAAATCATAAATTCAAGGTGGTCTATGGTAGTGATCGGAAATGTTAGAGCATTTAATATTAAACGAGAAACGCGCCTTGTTGGATAAAATATGGATGTAAGATGGATACTTTTTACCTTCAATCATAAAAGATTTTCCGTCATTAGGCTAACCCAACAAAAAATTTATAATTTGGGCTTTTTATTTAGTGAACATCATAAAATAATAAAAATTAGATTTTAGTATAGTGTCACAATATTTTATCAAAACATTTTTTTATTCATACAAATTAATTAATGCACCATTGTATTTATTTGTGTGTTACATTGTTTTTTTAAGCCAGTGTTATAAAATATTTGAGTTATTGGATAGATGAAAATTTGGTCTTAAATTATGTCTTATTAATAAAAGTTCATAAAAGTTTAATCATTTAGATTAAAATAATAAAAACTAATTAATGTCTTATTCTGTGCATAGTAATTAGTTCTGTCAGATGGGTTAAATTTGAACCATTTTTTTTCGCTTCTGCTGGGTGTGTTCTTTGTCTGATGGCTGTGATAAAATGATTAATAGTTGGATAATATATTTATTTTTTTTAATAATAAAATGTAAGAAGTCATTACAATACATTTATGTGTATATAATTTGTTGTAAAAAATATGGGAATCAATTTATTGTGAATATATCTACATGGTTACACAATGATTATAGGGGAATAAAAATCTGCCTCATTTATTAATAGAAAAATCATTATATTAGTAATTTAGTCAGATTTTTTTATCAAACCAAAAAGTAGGTACCGTGAATTTTATGGTTCGTATCGGACATACTATACAATTTACTCTACGACAAATATTTTACCTGTTTAAAAGACCTCATACACAGAACTATAATGTATCAACAAACTTACCATCAAACATGGTCAAACGGTCATTGATATGTATATCCTATGGGCCTATTAGTTGTTGTGTTGCCATGTCTATACACTGATGATTGATGCTCCTGGAACTTTAACATGACGACCACCGACTTACCTGTCAGTGTGTTTATGGAGTTGGTTAATACATTATACAATATTTGTATTATAAGTTCCATGACCACAGTCCTCGAACACCATAGTACTTTTCCTTAATATATTCCGTATAAGCTCAAGGAGATTATAATTTACTATCAAGTTGGTTTTTATTTTAATTTATTAAAAATGGATTTTGAAACAGACTAAAAATGTACCCCTAAATTTATAAAAGAACATAAAACATATATACTTTTGCTATACTTATAAACAATGAAATAAAATATTTACGAGGAATATTCATTATTTTTAATATATTAGTATTATATTAATTACCAGCAATATTATTTGTTTTTTAATATTATAATATTCTCAGCAGATGTTGTTATTTTTCAAAAATATACACTTCTGAAATTATTTAATTATATATACTACATAATGAAAAACTGAAGTGATTAATAATTATAAATATAATGTATACTATGTGTCCCCAAAATTGGTTACACTCTTTAACTCAGTTACCTACATTACTTAGTACCCCATGCCCCCATCCATATTTTAGAATTGTGTCTGCGGGAGATTGATGACCCAATAGTCTAGTTTCAAAAATATATATAAGATACTGAGTAATATGGGTGATTTAATTATACAGTGTACCCTATTTACTGGGGCCCTCAGTATATTATGTATAAATATAATATCATCAACCTAATTATTTTTTTAGTTTCTAAATTCTGAGTTTAAATTATAACTAAATAAGTAATAATTGTATTAATATCTTTTCATTTCCAATAAAGGCTGCATTACGCACTCCAGAGCTAAAATGGGAAAAGGTACGATCACAAGTAGATCACATTCGATGGCCTGATGGAAAAACCATGATTTTACTTGCTGGTGGTCATCATGTAAATTATACGTGTTCTAGCATTCCATCATTTGTCACTTCCATAACTGGTACAACCCAGGTAAATGTTGAATTTAAACCGTTTTCATTGCTTGTATTTTATTTTGATGGTTTTTTTTAAGATACTTGCGTTAATGGAATTGTTTAATGCTCCAATTGGTCGTTACAAGAGTGATGTATATTTATTGCCAAAAAAAATGGGTGAGTTATCATTTAAGTATTATTTCATTTATGAAATTATAAATTCTTATTTTGTTTTAGATGAGTATGTGGCAAGTCTTCACCTGGCTACATTTGACGCTCATCTTACGGAACTTAGTGAGGAACAAGCCAAGTATATGGGATTACCAAAAAATGGCCCGTTTAAACCAAACCACTATAGATATTGATCTATACTTCAACAATACTGGTTTATAATAAATACAATTTAATATTCTCCTTAAAGGAGAATAAATTATTATTATTTTTATTCACATGCATATTAACAAGGTGTCTCAAAATTGTTTTGGAAGTGCTAAGAGCTGAAGAATTCCATTACCCAATTAGCTGGGGGAGGGGGGAAAATAATACACTAGTTGTGTTTATATTTTATACATTAAGTATAAATAAATCAATAATACTATCTATTTTTTTATTTCACAATAACAAATAGAGATAATAGATAGTTAACAGATTTAAACAGGATTTTTTCATTAAATTCATACAGACATCAGACATAAATGTTCGACACAAGTGTACACATTTCAAAATGTCAATAGAAAAAAATTACTCTTTTTTTGATCAAATTTACTTATGATTACTTACGATATGAAAGTTACAAACTTATGACATAAATAATCAATTGTAACAAATATTTTTTATATTTTTTAAACTAGGTATCTTGTAGTCTAAGGTGGAAATCTGGCTAGCTTAAAAATTTTCAAATTAATAACAAATACTAGAGTATTTTAAATTTAGTATCATAAAGTAACTTGAATCAATGTAGATATGCCTGTTAAATAATAATAATTTTAATATAGAATTTAATGCAGGTATAGTAGTTTTTTATAGATTGACCCAATATAGATGAAATATTTCAGATTGATGTTGAAATTAAACTTCCACACACAAATTTAAGTATTAACTAATAATAAAAAATAAAGGAATAATAAATTGTAACGATAAAGTCTGAAGAAAATAGTTCAAAAAACATGAGGTTAAATAATATATTCACTCAATCCACTCTTTTTAAAAATTATATTGTATTTATTAATAGTATTATTTTAAAGTGTGTGGGTAATTTTTATTTACATATTGTACTTTTTATTAATGAAAAGAAAGTTATACAAATAACTATTTCAGTGTGTAGATTATAAATTGAAAAAAATTCTTTTTTTGATAAAATATTTAAATAAATCATCCCTGTGTGATATTTGATTAATACATTTAAACCTTTTGATGGTTGATCTACATTACCCATTTTAATTATATGTATTTATTTTATTATTTGGTTCTTTTGATCGTTTAAAAAACCATAATTTTAGTAAATTTAATCAGATTTTTTTAGTAAAAATAACAATTAAGCTATTGTTTTGTTTAGAGTATCTACACTCAATGTAAGTTCAGAAACATAATTGGTGACACCTACTTTCATGTCACCCCACCGAGTTAACCATCTATACTTCCCTTACATTGTTGGGAACACACCCCTACGCACAAGTTGGCTGCTGGGAATGTTTCTTAACTTAAATTGAGTATAGACTCGTTTTAGTGAGATTTATGTTTGTTTTTTATTAAATAAATTTTTTTAGTCATATTTGTAAAGAAAATATTTTAAGTTAAGTATATATTATTTATCAAAATATACATGGTTGAATAGGTTTAGTTTCTACACTAATAATTGATTAAAATTTTGTTTCACATGTTCTAAAATTGTTTTCATTGTAAAATTAAATTAACTTTTAAAGCATATTAAAATTAAAATTTATTTTTTATTTAAAATTCCTTTCCTGTGTATGTTAACTTTTTGAGATTTACAATATGTATGTATAAGTTTGATTTGTGTAGATGAATATTTTAAATAATTATTACTGATTAGGCGAATTAATTAATCATGTAGGTACCCAAATTAAACACGAACAGATTACTAAATTATTTTTCCTTTACTAGAAGCATGTTGACCGGATTCAAATAAATATTAGATAATAGAAAATTTGAATTTTGGAAAGTAGCCCTAGTTTTAATAGAAACACTTTTTACCTTCAGTTTCGATGAATAAATGGTTGTTATACGTCTTATGATGATTCCTTTAAAATATAATATTGTCAAAAAATCAGAGAAGGTTAATCTCATTCATAATGTATCTAACATATTATGAATAATATCTTCATTATGATATATGCATGAAAGCGATCTAGTATCTAATAATATATTACTTAGGTAGTAGGTATCTCTCTTCTGCATACCTACGATGCTTAAGAGACCTATCTCAACTTTGATTTGTATGCACTAAAGAATCATGAAATATTGCTTTATACTTAATACTCTTGTAAGTGGTGAATTTTGAGTAAAATATATTTTTAAAAACCAAACCTATTTAAAAAAAAAGAGTAAAAGTTTGATTTTAAATTAATGTAGGTACAACAACAGCACACAAATGTTAATTTTTCATTACTTATGATATAATTGCAAATTCCAAAATAAAATAGTAGGTATATCAAATTAAGTACAAAATTAAAAAAAAAAGTAATGAGTTAAGTAAGTTTGTTTGAGATGACTTCGAAAAACTTTGAATTTTCTTTTTTGCATCTTCCGGTATACGAATTTGCAGGCTTTAAATAACCTTTATTTTTGTTTTGTTGAAATTGTATGTTGAGTTTTTACTTTATTTATAAAATATTCTAATATGCCATAAAATGACACTCAAATTATAAGTAGCCTATAGGTACTCTACAAACAAAAAATTGAATCTTAATATATAATATAATGTAAAATAATTTTATATTTATAATCTCGTAGGTATTGCCACCAATCTTTATAAAACAAATTTTGTGTTGGCAACTATCAATTCGCGTATTCTACAAGTATCTACAGGCTATAATCACCAGTAAAAATGGGCAAAGTACGATTGAGAGCGTTTCCGCTTTTTTTGTAAACGATTAAGCACAGTGCCGGAATAACTAAGAACATGATTTTGTCTAGACCTATTCAAAGGCGTACGATTTCGCTTTAAATTGGATGCATTTCGTAGGTTTTTTATTATATTTTAATTTGAGTTATTTGGTTATGAGTAATTTAAGGTGTACAAACAATTTACAATTTTTAAATTAAAATATAATAAAAAGCCTATGAGATGCCCTAGGTCTAACATTAAAATTTTAAAATAGGTAATTTCACTCTAATTTTAGACTATCTTAATTTAACGATTATAATTGATAACCATTATTGTGAAAGTAAAATTTGCTATGAAGAGTGTGGATTAGAGAAAAAAAGAAATTGTGCCAACATCCTCTTAAGAGGCTCTTGTTAGGAGGTTCTAGACAGGAAGAAAGTCAACAAACAGATAGGTATAAAAGAATACTACGGTAAAAATACAAAATCATTAAATTATCCAAGATGATTAAAATGACCAAAATACAACATATATATACGAAAATAATTATATTATTTGTAAAATATAATAAGGAAGTGGGAGTGGATAAATAAATAGGCAATAAAAGAACTGTCTAGAGCATAGACATATATGGTCTAGAGTTTAAGACGTGATAAAATGATAATCCGGTTCAGATAACCAACAACTCGAATACCAGCTATCACGATTCACTGAAATTATTGATAAAAATAATATTGTAACTTATTAGGTATCTATGTGTTAACGATCTATATTCTACGTAACATTGGCAATCAATAACAAATCAGAAATTATCGAGTACCGTTGACCGTCAACTCGTCAAGACCGCTTACATTTCGTTACAAACTCAATATCTATTATATTATTATTAAAAGACGTGTGGTTTTATAGTTGTGCAGTCTACACACACGAGTAAGTTTGGCTTTTAAATAAATAAATAAATACTGCTACGTACGACAATAATGAATTAAACTCGAGTATAAAATATTATGATGGGCGAGAGAGGTGGCTCATAATATCCAAACCTATTACCTTACTCCAGCGCCAGCGTGAGGTTTTGGAAGGACAGATATTTTTCATGGGACTAAGAAACTTTTTTTCGTTAGGCGAAAAAAATTTACTGGCACGTCCTAGTACTTAGGTAGGATATTTGATTAACATAAAATATGTACAAATTAAATGTTTAGGTACACTAATTACACTAAATACAGGTGTTACACAAAAATTTAAAAAAAATTCAAAATTATTTTAGACGTTGCCGTCGCTCGCTGGCCTTATACCCAATTTATTTTTAACTCTTACTCGTTAATATAGGTATTCCAATAATAATTATATTACAAATCCAGAAGCCGCCACTGCAGACCGGACTTGTATTTTTAATTTGAAAAATCATAATAATAGACTTAAAAAAGACTATGAAAAGCGCATGACCCCTAAATTGGCGGGGCTCTGGGCAGCTGCCCCTTCTGCCCTGCCCTTCCGTCGGTGCTGCCTAACTCATTTTATTTGGTTCTGCTCAGAACTTATTTTCGACTATTGCTATTAAATCTACTAATGCTCGCTTTTCATCCAATATAGTATTTCAACCGTTACTTGCTTTAAATCAGAGAAAAACATTTAATGTCTTGATTTAGTTTATAATGCGGAGTTTGACAGTCACATTTTAGTTTTTTGTTTTATTCTTCTAATCTTGTTGGTCAGACTAGAAAACCTTGAGTTTTTTTTTATGTACAATTAACTATCCTACTTGATAATATGTTAAGTACTCGATTACCTATGTACTAAATAGCTTTAAAATTTTAGTAACAGATCGGTAAACAGGCACATGGTTTGTTTCAATTAAATGTTTTTTTACTTTCTACATGTCAAATTTTTTTTTTAATAATTTATTTAAAGTTACAATATCATTTGAGCTTATTGTAGTATTCTTTTACATATTGTACAATCACTAGATTACAAAAAATATAAGGTCTTTTTTATAATGAATAGTTTTATTTTTGATTAACATTTTTTACTATAAAAAAACCTATGTGTACGATATGTAATTTTTAAAAAAGTATTCTGTGCTATGTGTATGCAGTTAGTATAGGTTTGTGCAGCTCTTCCCCGTACAGTATACCATGTTATATTATAGATTGAGATAAAACAAAATTTTTATTTTTTAACCAGTGCACATGAAAAAATTATTTTAAAGATAGTGTATACTTGTATAATTTATGCAATTTTTAATTTAACCCCTTAGTTACTGTTTTTAAATATTTCTGAGCCGCAATTGTCAGCAAGCCTCTACTGTTCTGTTCTAGTTGTTTTATCGCTTTAAATTGAGCATATTAGGATACTTCTATAAGAGACTTGTGTTTTAAAATATTATTTATTGTAGATGAAGAGGGTTTGATAAAGATTTTATACAACTATCGCACAAAAACAATCAATCTCTAAATAATATGTTGATGTGATGGAAACTGAAACAATAGTAATGAGTAGTAGAAGAAGAATGGTGCTCAAACCACTTTCTGCTCCAGCAGCAACTTTACAATGTAAAGTACAAAATACCTCCAATGATACAAATGAATATGATAAGGTAAGTTTATTGTATACTTATGCCGGGTTTCATGAACAATCACTAAACATTGAACAAATTAATAGTGAGTTAATGGTCCTTTAAACATGATTTAGTGGCCCATGATTGGTCCATTAATTTTTATTGAACCGTTAAATTAATACATTTTTCATGCAACCTTGCATTAGTATATTTAAACTTAATTTATTAAGACTAATTTTTGAAAAGTTTCTATTATTATATCAAAATTAATAATTTTGTAATGTAATTTTTCATTATATTTTCTTTGCTGTTGACGTTACTTTACTAATAGAAATAAACATTTTTTAAATTATTTTCAATCTTCAATTTTTTTAGTATTGTTTTCTATGAATATCAATAACATTTTTTCGTTGGGTCAAAATGCTTAAACACTTAATTCAAGGTCCCTCAAGTAGTTATAGTAGCAGTTGAGGAATATTACTGATTGCACAGTTTTTTCTATGAGTATTTAAAGTTCTTGTTTTGACAACATTTTCAAATTATTTTGCTGTTAAAAAATTATAAAATGTTTAATGTTTATAGCTTAGAATTGAAAATTTAAAACTATGATTCCCTCTCACGCTGTTACCAACAAATCCAAGAATATATAAATAGTTATTTTTTATATTTATTTTAAGTTCAAATTTGGACAAAATTAGAGAAGAAAATGAACTATTATAAAAAACAAACTCAGGAACACAGATAATGTTCTAAATAACTATTTACAAAAAAAATTTGCTGTCAAGTTATTTAAAACTGCTTTAAGAGATCTGCTATACCCGGGGTGGGCAACTAGCTATATTTTGAATGACCCTTTTATTTTGCTTTCTATGCTCTCAAAAATTTTGCCCTTTAGTAACTTTGAGTTGCCCATCTCTGTTCTATACTATAATTAATTTGTCCTAGCCTGCACACAATTGTTTACTGTTATATTGAATATTATTTTAAGATCTGAGTATACTTTATGATGTTGTTTTAATTTATATTAAAATATTACTGATTTGTTATTTATAGATTCAACCACTGTCCTCACTCATTGCTCCAAAAAACGACAGAAAAAAACTTTTGTTTCAAGATGTTATTGTTCCTGAAATAATACCTCCAGTGCAGCGTAATAAAGTCTTATTATCATGTACAATTAACAGTGATATGTCAGTTTCTGATGATTCTGATTCTGAAGATTCTACAAAAACCAATGTGCCTCTCAATAAATCACCAAAGAGCAATACAAAACTATACTACACTATCATTATGTTTTTATGTTGGGCTGCTGTTCAGTACTGGATGATTGCTGTAGTTGGTTTCGGAGCAGTATTTTTTGCTATTTCTGCTCTTATTGCCATGTATTATAACACTTCAAACTCAGAAAAAAAACACAATGTTTTAAGTGCATACTCTGTGTTTAATCCTCAATGTACACCTATTCAAGGATCTGTAGATCCAAAACAATTGGAACGTGAGCTGCTATTTGGTTAATTGTGATGTTCGGTCAATAAATATAATATTATACTTTTTTAATTATTTATGGTGTCTAGCCTGTTACTATAATTTAAAAAACACATTTTTATTTAAGTACGTATTTTAACATGGTCATTTGTTTGTACAATAAAATAAATAATGAACATTTTTAAAATTTATCTTAATTTAGTATTTTATATAATTTTTACTATTTTTCAAAATCACCTTAAATTCCAAACTATTTTACATTTTTTACATTTGTATTTCAAGTATAATGTTAGTGATGATTTGTTTATGTAAAATGTATAACTTATTATTTGGATAAAAATTGCAAATGATTACTATTATATTTTATTGATATATATTTTTGTATGTGTTTGTATGGTTTCTTAAATGTGTATAATATAAGCCATAGGATAACATTGATACAAGCCATATTGTGGCATTGTGTTATCATCATTATTGTGTAATAATTACAGTCGTAGTGAGTTCAATAATATTTAAAATATAATTGTAATATTTTTTTAAACTATTTTTGTAGTAGGCAATAAATAGATCTTCTATTTATTGAAATGGTTTAAACTTTTTGTTTCCAGCAAACCCTAATATAAAATAATACATAAGGGTTTTTATGTGAATTTTGTTCTTAAAATTAAAAATATATATTTACTGATTGATTTGATTTGTAGAAAGGACATACAGCTGCATAAACATTGAATACTAATTAAATTTGAATATTTATGATCTGTAGTAAGCCAATAACTATCAAATTTACTTATTACTTATGTACTTCTAAATGAAATTTATAAAAGAACGTTGTTTGGAGTCATATATGCTTCAAAAATGGTTAGCCTTATTTTGTTTATAACAACACAAGTTTAATAATATTTTTTAAGTATTCAAGATTAAAAAAATATATAAATAGATATGATTTTTCTGAAATATCTATTTGTTAAAGAAAAGTGTTATTCTTTAAGCTGGTTATTTTCAAAAAACTCTCACCGTTTTCTCTTACATTTTAGTCTTCTAGGAATCTTGATAAATTTAGCTTAGGGTATTGTATTACTCAGTCATGTTGTAATGTTGATTATCTGTTGATACTACTAAATTGGTACTATGACACATAAGGTCATAATATAATCCATAATCTTTTACAAAAATAACAATAAGTGAAAGCGATGAACAATTTATGGTTTTAATAAGGGATTGAAGAAGTCTTCCAGTGGATATATCAAACATTATATTTTTACTTTTAAGTTATTTTAGTTATTCATAACAGTATGTCACTGATCAATATAGGTTCTTGATGTATGGAGTATTTTAATATTCAAAATAGTAGCAATATTTGTCAGTTGATCTTGTATTATGTAAGTATATAATACTGTCAACAAGTTTTAGCTTTGAGATTGAGATGATGTCAAAATTAGATTTTAAATTTTAAAATAAAAAAAAGAAAATTATTGGATGTAAAATCAGAAATTGTGTTTACACTTAATAAGTCATAAGACAATTTAATTATTAATTTTTTTGAAATTGTAACCATTGTAAATTATATATATATATATTAATAATGTTGGTATGCTGTAAATTCATCTTTGAACTTTGTAGTGTCGTAATGATGGCTTTCATAAAAATTTTAAATGTCTATACGATAGGTACTTACTTTAAAATTATCTTCAATTACATAGTTACATAATGTTGTTTGCCGAATACCAATATCATCAAAATTCAAAAAGCTTGATTGCAAATGATTGACGCTTTTTATGAAACATGAATGGTATGTTGTGATAGGCGTATACCATAATCCAATTATTCTGAATGGTGTACTGGTGGTAGCTATTCGGATATATCACGGAGTTGATTGTCTGAGCATCATTAATGCTCCTGGTAAACAATTTGGTTGGTCGTTTGTGCAATCGTGCATCACATGTCTAAACCTAAAATACGTCTTAATAATATAACAGGAGTGGGTATAAGTCTTAGTACTGCGGCACGAACGGATTATATTCCAATTTCCAATAACATATTAACAAGGATACCTCAGTTACAAAAAGATTTGTATTTGATGATAATTATATTATATTATACAATAGTTGCTATTTGCTAACAGACGATTGCTAATTTCAGAAACCAGGTAGGTACTGGAATTGGAATTTGATGCGTTTTACATTTCGTATTTGGAAGTTCCCAGACGATGCTTTCTTAGCTGAAAATGTTTTCCAATTTCACGCGAATCTAAATATTTAATTTTAATTTTGCATTTTCTGGCTTTTTTACGTTATAGGTAATTTTCCTACATTTTTATTCATTTCCCACTAGTTTAGCTTCAATTGGAGTGGTTCCTGATGACCTGATTTCAAATTTGCTCCAATCACTTCAAGGACGCAGAGAGAAGTTTTTCTGAATATAGGTAAATATTTAGTATTCGATAACCATCTTTCATTTAATTTTGACAACATAAAATATGGTCTAATAATACAATGTAATATTTTTAAGTAATTTGTAAACTATTATTATAATTTGTAATTTATAAATTTAAAAAAAAATTCTATTTTTATTAAATTTAAATCATTATTTGTAATTTTTTCAGTTCATTTTGAAATTATGTTAAGGTCGAGTTCTGGTCATTTATGACTCATAAAAAAATATTTGCTAAATTATGCTTTACTTTATGTACAAAATATTGTAAGTAAACAATGTATGTAGGCTTCATTTTAATGTTCTAATAATATTTAAATTATAGTATATTGGTTTAAAACATTTTTTTTATTCTATAAATCTATAATATACTATTTGAATAACTGTGCTTAATCCGTGTGGATCTAGCTGAACCAATTGACAAATATTTTATGAAAACTGATTAAAAACTGTGTATTTGTTCAAGGCATTAAGGTTCATCCGTTTTGGGTATTTAATTTTTTAATTTTTTTTTTTTATGTTATAGGTATATTAGATAACTGTAAAACCTGACTTTGCCGGGAAAAAGTGAAAAAGTATAAAATACAACGCTATTATATATACCTATCTTGGTTTGGGTTTATCTCAGTTTTAGTGTATATGTCGTAGGCATATAGTCAAATCAGGCATTTTATCAAATGCCTAGGCATATAGTCAAAAAATTTAATGTTTATGCAATTTCACTATCCGCCTAGACATTTAGTTAAATGCCTAGTCATTTAATTAAATGACTAGGCATTTGACTAAATGCCTATTTCATGCCAGGCAAATAATAAAAAAACATT